AGGATAACTCAGAGAGACAGAGACAGAAAGAACGCCCAGAAAATAAGTGACACAAGTCTGCACAATCAGGGAAAGTCATGTAAGGAAACTATATGGTACTCCGCACTTTTAATAGGGGTGTAAAAATTGACAACCACCTTTGTGCAGGTTGTACTTGAACTTCTATGAACTTACTTCCCCGAACTTTCAAAATAGCTAAATGGAGTAACTGTTTAGCACCCTGTCACTGGATTTCAGTGCTAACCCTACAGAAGGACAAAATCTTAGGAGAGTAATTCAGTTCACCCAAAAGCCCTTTCTCTGAATCACATTACAGTAGAATAAGTCTCTTTTTCATATTTATTAAGATGGCATATAAAGATGAGGCTCTTAACTTGGGGACCAGAGTCAGTTGCTGAAATCTAGGTGCAGTGAATATCCCTTGCATATGCAGCTCATTCTGGTATGAGTCATAATTCCCAGGAAATACACATTGTACTAATCATTGCCTATTTCTTCAGAGAATATTGTAAAAGCAGTCAAGATTAAGACAGCCAAACAACTCAAGATAAAAGACTTACAAGCCTGACTGTCAGGTGTAGATGTGACAGTTCTGAAGGCCGTTTCAAAGACAGCTATTTCTGTTGCAAAGTAAAACTCTTTACAATGCATTTTTTTCCCCTCATTTGGCCTAGCAAGAAGTGTATTTTTAGAACAGTTTTGGGATATATGCTGCAGTACTCATTTATAATAATTATTTTCCTCACTAATTGTAAATTTTGACAACTATAATGTAACTTACAAGAATGTAAGGATGTGATTGAAGGATTCACTAAAAATGAGGGGAAACTTAAGCCATGTCCAAAGGTGAATGATCAGGCTCAAATAAGGTTATTGTTTCTTCATTAGAGGATTGGTCTTATTTTCATTAAAGACTAAATAATAAATTCCATTATTATGCTTTTTGTGTCACTATCAACACAGAAGAGAATTGGAATATATTTATTTAGTATTTAAAGAGCTAGGTGGTCCTGAGGACTGGAGTAACAGATACAGGATGAAGTTTATTTGTATAAAACCTGCTGTTACATACTACTAGGATGTAACAGCATTTTTTTCTATTAGTTGAAAGTTCATCAATTTGAAAAGACTCAGGGAAAAGAAGTATCAAGATGATTATGAGTCATGAACCCCTCTGAAAAGAGGTAAATACCACCTTGTGAAGTTCCACAATGAAACAAGCTTTTCTTGCCATAGCCGTGACAAAGGCAACTCTTGCAGAAGCCCAAGGCTCTTGTCCTGAAGGTGACTCTCCTCACCAGAAATTCACAGTTCAGTGATAACCCAAATGCTAAACAAAACCCCCCAAATTAATTGCACTTAGTATGCCACTTTGCCTGCTTCAACTCCTGCCTAACATGAATTCATCTTACTTCATCATTCCGAACAGCAGATTTTAGAGATGTTTCAGTCAAGATGCTATGGGAAAATGTTAGTATATCAAGGGATATTTTTTCATGCTCTTCCAATTGTAATTTCAGCTTGAGATCTGAGCTAGGAAAAGTTAAGTTGCAAATACATATTTTTAGCATAAAGAAGTGATGACTTCAGAGAAAAATGTGTTGCATTTGTCAAAGTAAAAAAGTGGAATTTGTAATGAAGCTCACTGTTAGTATGCATGCTTTCCTGAGCCTCGAGTAGCACAAGATATGCCAGTGCTGTAAGACTGTTCAGAGGCTACTGAAAAAACAGTACAATCTTCCATCACCTTCATTAAGCCTGGAGCAGATGAATGGCATATTGCCATTTAAAGTTTTATCAGCGTAAATTGAGATTTCTCTGGTTATTCAGGAGGTTGGTGGGCTCTGTTCCTCTTGCTAGGTGTTTAGAAAGCATGCAGTACAATGCAGAACCTAAAACGGTGTTCCTCTTCACTAGAATAACAATAATGGGAAGGTTCAGAGGGTCCACTGCAATGCCCTAATGACTCAGTGACTTGTCAATGTTAGAAAAAACCTCAGGAACGATGGTGCTAATGAGAGTGACTGTAGGGTGGATCCACTCTGTACCTGGAGATCACACACCCTTCCTGAGCAGACACAGTACACAAAGACTGGATCTGAGGATCTGGTTTCCTGCAAAAACCTCTGAGAATGTGACATAACCTAAGACAACATCTTTTTTCGAACTATATCAACTGCACATTCAGCAAACAACAAGATAAGAACACAAGCACGTCAACAGACTACCACTGAAGAAGGCAGTCAGAATCAAATTGCACCTCAGCATGTTGGACAAAGAGGGTGATTTGATTTTGCGTGAAGACAGGAATAATGCACACTGGAAGACCCAGTGACTGGACCTCAGATACTAACTTCCAGGCATTTTTCTTTTTTCTTTTGAAATACAAAACTTTTATTAATAAAGTTGAATTTGAAGATGAGAGGGAACACATATTGAGAAAATAACTGGATTCCTTACTTTCAGCTTTAAGCCAACATTACCAAATTTCTTGAGCTTATGTGCCACCCTCATTTATATAAACACGACACAGGTAGGAGGATTTCTTCCCTTGGTGGAAGGAAGAGCTCTTTAATCCCTTAAACCACCTGTCTTCCAGTGCCAAGAAGCAGGAGATCTATGCCTTAAAAGTATGGACCAAGAGAGCATGAGCTGGAGATCAGGAGGGAGCTTTACAAGGAAAGTTGCCAGCAACTGGTGAAAGTTCAGGAATTCCACAGTAGGGCCCTAACACACCAGTGTAAAACCAGTCCCAGAACAGGATAATCAAGAAAAGCAAGCCAGGAGATTTTAAGATGAGACTCTTCCAGGTAAATTGTCACTACGCAGCCTATGTCTTGACTTTGAATCAGATTTACATGGTATTTCTGTAAAGACACTGCTTTTGACACCATTTGCTCTGTGCAGATTGAAGACACATATGATTAGTATTTAAAGACGTTAAAAAAAATATGACTATTGAATTCAAAGATCTTTGTATAATCTTTTTATTATTCAACAGCAGAAAAAGCAAATGCTATTCTGCAGTAACATCTTTTACAGGCCTGGGATTCTAATTTCTCCCAAAGTGAAACAAGGTACCTACTTTACTAAAGTTTCAGCTACTGGAAAATAATGTCTGCTTTTCTTGCTAGTAGAGATAGCAATAGATATTAAGATGGGTATTCTTATTGTTTGTAGGAGAAGGTTAATCTTTTTATGTATGCAATGCTATGAAAGACAGTCTTCCAGCAAAGGTAGTTAATAAACATGTTGATGCTGAAGTGATTATAGGTACAGTGACTGTAAAACGTGTTTTTTACTTGTAGTCTTGCATACCACCTTTACTGATCGCAGGTATGAAAAGATTTGGTTAAATCAATGCAAATGAGATTTAAACTAGTATCAGCCTACTTGTTAGCATTTTAAACTGCTAAACTGAAGTATGGATCAAGCTATTAGTTTAACCATGCCACTTAAATGACACCCTTAGTTAAATATGTACATTTTTTTCCACAGTTTCAGATAATAAATTATTATTATTTTCAGAGAAAAAATTCTGTCTTCATTTAGGAAAATGTATATAGAAACTATACTTGATTAACTGTAAAAGCATAAGTAACTTCATCACATAGTAATACATTCCCTTAAACTGGTTCATGTGAAAAGTGATCAGTTAATAAAATAGTCTAAACAGGATGGAGAAAGTACCAATAGATCATTCTGTTCCTGTGCCATTTGACTGCTCTATGCACACACAAATTGGTCCACTTTCTTTATGTTTGTATTGTATAGGAAAATAAAGTTCATGTAATTTGCTTTATGCAGCATTTACATGAAAAAAAATGAAAGAACTTTGAAAAAAGAATAGGACTTGATAGAAGACAAACATATGAGTTTTATAAAATGGGTTAAAAAGCTCATGATACTTAATTGACTTAGCAGCTTGATTTTCAAAAATTATTTAGGCTTTGAAAGGACCAGTGTCACAAGTGTTATCAGGATTTCAATTCATATAATTTAGTGTTCTGGACTTACTTTACCACATGTAATTTCTTTGTGCTTTATAAATAAATATACTATTATATTATTATTATACTTAAAATACTTTTTAAAGTCTGGGAGTATGTTGTTGTTTTAGTGCTCAGCACTGACATCCAGTAAGCTTATTTCAATTCCAGAATCTTTCTGGATTAAGCAATTGTCAAGTTGCACCATACAGAACATACAAATCCAGTCTGAGGATTAAATTTAAACCAACTGCATAGTTTTTTACTGAAATGCCAGAAAAGAGAAACTATACTCATCCCACATTGAAGTCCAAGAAAAGTTGAAAATCATAAATTATTTAGAAATATGTTTTTTATTATTATCTGCGAATGATAGAGTAAATAGAAAATTCTCAAAAATTAGAACTGAAGACTGCTGTACATATTATTGCTATAAATATGTGTGAAAGGAAATATGTCAGATTTTAGTAAGCTTTTTCCATATAGACAGTAATGCCAAAATGTCTTTTAAATATTATGTTCCATTAAAAAAAAAAAAAAGAAAAATTGTCATCCTTTACCTCGAAACACAGGAGCAGTCACACCAGTAGTGTATCAATACCAATCTACTACATTTCACATCTGATACATTAGTTCAGTATATTTTCTGGGTTTTTTATTTTCAGTTGTTTTAAATAAAAGCCATCAGGTGCTAAGTGATTTATTCAGAACTGATATTACTAAACACTAGTGGAAGAAAGAAAGTATCTGTTCAATAATACATAAGAACTGAAGTTTGTGAAACAAGGTATGGTACCACTATCACTTCTTTCAGTCAGTAGCATCCAATTCTTGAAGGAACCTGACTAGTTATTTTTAGCATACTTGCTTAAACTAAACATTAGCTGAACATGCAAATGTAAGAAAATGCCAAACATGAAAAAAGGTGAAACTTTCTCTGAGCACTAGCCATTCTGAAACAGTGAAAGTATCAAAATTGTCCTAACTGGTCTACTTTTTAGCTACTTTTACCTTGCCTTTTCAGTGATTCCCATTTGTTGATGAACATCAATAAATTCCATGAGTTGCCTTTGTAGCACGTTTTCTTTTCCTTCGATTTGCTTAATAAAATCATGCTGCAAAAGACGAGATACTGTCGGACGCTTCTCATAATCTTTAGTCAAACACCTGTGCTGGCAGAAAAAGCATATGATCATTGAGGGATCACTACTCAGTTTTGAAATGCTTGTCTGTAGTTTATTCATGCCTCCATAATAAATATATCCATCTTAATCACAACAGCTCTGTACTGAAAATTGTTAAGATTTCACAGAATCGATGAGTCCAAGAAGTTAAATTACTGCATTTAAAACCTAAATATTCTTTAAATTATGAAAAATAGAAACGTCAAGTGTGTTAAAATGTTATTTCATGTTTTAAATCTGGAACCTCACTTGGAAGTCAAACTGGATTTACAAACTAGCTTTTTAACGAGAAGTATTAGTAGTAACAGATTCCCAGAGAGAATACAAAGATATTTTACACATGACATTTACACATGTTCCATATTCAGCTGCGGTGGTCTCAGTTGTTACTCACTTGTTAATGAAGTCATTGAATTCAGGTGACCACAGTTCAGGCTGCTGTAGCGTTGGAGGAGGATTCCTGCAAAGGTCAATGTGATGGTAAGTTAATAAGCTACTCGCTGGACAAAAACAGTGCATGAAGGCAGGCTGAGTAATGAGTTTTAGAAGGCGACTGAAAAAAGATATTGATTTCCGCTGGTAAAAGGACTGTGGGTAGATGATACAATGCCTCACCGGTTCTCCTACTTTACATAACTAACAAGGAGAACTAGCATGGAGATGATCTACAAAGTGTAGCTAAGAATCACTACATTTTTTTCAATCAAATCAACAAACAGAAATTAAACTAACAACCCATTAATCACTATTCACTTGTAATGGCAAGTTTCTATTTTCAAGTGTGAAACAATATACTTTCATAAGTTAATTTTTTAAAAGAAAATCTATTACAGTTTTCCCAGGAGGACTGAATTAATCAACTTGCTGAAGAAAATGTCAGAAGGAACCAGCTCTTTATTAAGTATTTCTCATTCATCAGAGTACAATCAGAAGTGAAGGGATAAATACAGATTTATTGTAAATGAATACTACTACTTTCTTTTCTGTTCTTAGAGCTGTTTATTCTAGGTGTTAATTTGGCTCAAATTGTTTTAACAGTCTTCTTCCATTCAAGCAGAGGTGCTATTTTCACCATGTATAGACATGAAGACAAAAGGAATGACCTATAGATGAGGTGACTCGTGTATTTTCAATCAATAGTCAGAACTGCTTTTCTTTAAGCTTGCTTAATGCTGCTTAATGTTTACTCTATCACTTTCAGGTTTTACTTAATGGAATGAAAGGGTATTGATCTTATATTTGCTCCAGGGCAGAAAGGTGCCCAATATTTGTAAGGGTATAAGCCAGACTTTTTTTGAAGTCCTAGCTGAAATGACTGACCACAGCAGTTTGTAACTGCTTTTCCCATAGCAAGTAAAGGTAAGAAGAGCATTCATGCTCTGCTTCAGTTCCAAATCAGCCAAAATTTCTTAAACCTGAAGGTAATTTAAACTAATTTGGATGAGTTGGCTGAAAAAGACTTGAAGCACTTATGTATACTATGTGGTCTCAACTGTTGTGGTACTGCTCCAACTGTTAGAATGAAATCCACAAACTGCTGTATGATCATCCCCTACAGACTTTGAGATTGTTGTTCTTTAAAATGCTGCAAGTGGCACTTTGGGTACTTTTATCTCCAGCTTCAAGGAAAACACGAAAGAAGTTGCTATTTGCACTGCCCAAGGACAGAAACACTGGAGCTGCCAGGAGCAGCACAAGCTAATGAAAAGTGGCAGCCTAAATGTATGTGAGTGGTGGAACAATACTTGCTTCAAAGGACATGAGATAACTCTTGAGGACAGGTATGGGGCCTGTTCATCACAGTGGCATACTCAAACTCTGTATTTCTATCATAAATCATTCTTTGTAACAGAGTATACGGTACGTGGCTAAATCCTGCACTCATGTATACTGGGCAGCAGTCCACTCAGCAGTCCACAGTCACTTCTGAACTTCTCAGTGTGCACATATGGTTAAAGCACAGCCTGCAGAAAATACAGCTGGACAAAGTATTTCTAACCTCCTCCTAGTATAAATAATATGAAGAAACTACAAAGAACGTATACCGTCTACGTTTGAAGAGAGTAACAGTTAAGGAAAAAGTTCAGTCTAACCTGGCAAGAAATAAACACATCAAGATATTACCTTGGTATTTTGAAGAGTGCCCTCATAGGGTGCAAATCAGCAAGGGGTGGATCTCCATCTCCCAACTCTATTGCAGTAATACCCAGTGACCATGCATCACATCTGGCATCATAGGAACTATCTAGCTGCTGCTCACAGGCAATCACCTGTTGGAGTAAAAGACTGGGATGGTCACTGGATGGTCAAATGTCCAAATTTAAGGGTATACCCACAGTTGGGGGAATCTCTTACAGGATGGAGATACTTGGTGAAATAAACAGACCTGCACACATTTAGCAAGCTAAAGCAACCTGTTGCTGAAAAAGAACAATGCTTAAATTAGAGAAAGAAGGTGTTCATGAACACCAGGTTCTCTGAGCGGATGTTCCCCAACCTGACCAAAGGGTGTAAATCCTTGGCTTTTTCAGCTGAAGGTGGTCAACAGCATCCCGTGTCTGAGGAAAGTAGAATGAAACTGCAACCTTAAATCTCTTTTCTGTGGATTATTCCTGCAAAATAACTGGTGGAGCTATCCTGCTTTCTCTATGAAGTGAAACAAACAGGAAAGCAGAAGTTGAATTCACTATCTCCTACTGAGTCCTTATTTAGACAAATCAGCCAGTTTCAAGATCAAGCTAATTTCTCAACAATGTGTTTGCCACTGTATTACAGAAAATTTATTTAATTTCATATACATTTCAGCTCATCCACAATGCCAGATGAATCTAAAATTTTTCATCCCATTAGCTACAGATCTAAACCAAAAATAAATGTTTGAAACACTTCTTTTTAAAGGACATCGCTACTTCATTTGGTAAAAGCACTAGTGGTCAGGAAGAAAGACAAAGAAAGGGCAGAAATAAAGAATGCTGCAGCTCGAATCCCAGTGACAAAATGTTTTGAAACATGAATCTAACCTCAGGAGCCATCCAGAATGGGGTGCCCACGGAGGTGTTCCGACGGAGACGTGTGCTGGTCAGCTGAGCAGACACACCTGGAAGAATAAAGGGAACCTATAATCAGAGCAACTGTTATTTCCCTCCAAGATAGCCTTTCTGCATGGTGTCATCCTCGTCTTGTCATGATACAACTTCCTCTGCAGGCAATTCTCAAATTCATCTTTCCAGTTCTCTGGAAAGAGAGGCCAAGTCCTCAAAGGAAAGCACTTCAGCTGAGGTTCTCCACATCCTTTGTTCCTAGTGACTTCAACAGGACTGGGATTTAGTCTCTAATGAACATTTCATTAGTAATCCAACTCCATATATTTTGACCGGCTAATTACAGTTTTTCTGTATCTTGCTTCAGGAGAGCAGTAAAGCACTTTAGGGGAGCGGGGTGGGGAAAGTACTATAGCTTCCACAGATTCTTTTTTCCTTTTAATGCTCAGTACTGACACTAGACCCCTATTTCATTATTTATATACTTCAGGTTGAACACTATAAAAGATATTTATCCTCATCTCTTAGCTGCTGTGCCATAAAAAAGAAATAACAAAACAGTGAAATCTCAAAAATTCTTACAAAAACAGAAGTCTCTTAATGGTCAAAGCACATTCACAAAGCAACATCAAATGCCTGCAAATCAGCTTTGTAACATGAGCTGTAGTTTAAGGAATTAACTACTTCAGGCCAAGAGCTGGAAAGTGAACTCTGAAGTCTAAAGGTTCCTTATGGTTTTAAATTAAAAGACATTGCAATATTAGGAATTCAAGGGTGCTGCAGCACACTTCTGACCAGCCTGCCACCAATTTCCCGCCTTACAAAACAAAGGTTTATCAGTTGGAAGTTTCGCCAGTGTATACAAAGAGGAGAGTACAACACATGGAGAAAAGCAGTCCCTTTGCAAGCAACTATTATGGATTTGAGTCACAGCCAACGCTGAGGTCCACCAGAGGCATATTCTGAAGTGCCAATATCATGGATGGCAAGAACAGTGCTATGTTCTACTCTTGTTCCAACCTCAGTTTGACTGACACTGAAGCTCAGCTATTCTGCCTTCACACATACATCCGCCTTCTCTTTAAAAAAAGTAAAAAAAAAGACTCAGTTTCACCCTGTGAGTGCCATTTCATTATTCTGAAATACATGAAGCTCCAGTGAGCACCACTGGCCAGTTTAAACTCTATTGTCTGGTTTGAACACGCTTGACCTTATCTTCCTGAAAATCCTGCAGATGTTTCAGAACAGGAACAATTCACATTAATCACCCAGTGGAAATACCAACTAAACCTCTGTCTAAATAGAATTTGTTTTGTTTTCTTTTCAGTGGTGGTCAAGAAACCATAAAGAATTTGATCTGTTTTTTTCACTCAAAACCTATGCGTCCATCTCTGATTCACAAAATAGCTGCATTTGTCCACCACAGAAATGTATATAACTGCTGAAAATAAGGCAGAAAGAAAGATCCCACCTGCTCCTTTGAGACAAACACAACCACTGCTTTTCTGGCTGCCTCCCTCTGGTCTACCCCAGGTTTGAAAAAGTCGAATCTTTCTCTGTGCCTGCAGAAAGTCCAATACACAGTGTTTGCAGCATGGAAAGCAGGACAATGTGAGCTTTAGCACAAAGTCCATCAATCCTGCTTCAACGCAGCTAAGCAGGGGCTTTGTTTTTGCTACCTCAAGGCGCTGTCTGAGGTCCAGCTTCCGGCTCACGGAGTCTGTGGCTGTTCTGAGCCCTCAGCAAAACACGTCATTCAGAAAGCAAGGCGTAAGCACACATCACCACAGGGCTGTCATTGTTGCAGTGATGCCAACAGACATCATTACGTGATCCTCGGTTTTGGAGGAGGGGAGGCTACTCTCTCCTCTCCCTTTCTACGTGTTGTGGGCATCCCCTGTGCTAAACTCTTTTTTTGCAGTCGGGGACGAGGAAAGGGGATTCAGATCTGCAAGCAAAGAAAGGCACTAACTAAATTTTTATCATTCCATTGTCAGCTTTTATAAATAATCATAGCTTTCTGTAGAGATAAGGAACAAGACATAAAAGGAATGTTAATGTGCAACATCTTCTCTGCCTATGCACTCTTGGGTTTTTTTGCTCTTTGAACTGTAATTATTAAGTAAACTGAAGGATTTTTTCCTCCTCCCCCTTTTTTTATTTCAGTAAAAAGCTGATTTAATTTGAATTGTTCATGACTACTTTCTTTAGGCTCTTGGGTTTTTTTGTTTGTTTGGGTTTTTTTTTATCTTTTTGCTCTTAGCAGTAAAGTGGCATTTCAGATTATGGAGTGTAGGTCTTATGACAAATGATATTTCCTTGGGCTTTTTCTGTGTATAGAGGAAAGATGATGTAATTCCACACTTAGTAACATTTCTTCCAGCATTTCAGCAACCAGTCAAGCATATAGCTGGACAGATTTTAACACCCTGTATATTTTCTAACAAAACCATCTTGGCTCCTCCCCCTTCCCCTTTATTACTGTTTTGTTGCAAAATGAGTCAAATATTCTCCTAAGAAAATCTAAAATATGCCATAAGCCAGTGTTTTATTACACACAAATCGTAAATCTTATGACAGTGAAGAGCTTAATAAATAAGTGCATTAATAATATACATGCACACCATACCCAAAAGAAAATATTGTGCATATAGTTGGAAAAAGGCATTTTTTTTCCCAGGCACTAGTTTACTAATAACAACTGGAAATTAGCAGACGTACACCATGAATATTATTAAAGCTTTTCATTGCAAAAATTTGCATATTGGAATAACATTGAAAGGAAAGCTACCTACTTATGACCTTGGCACTCAATAAAAAAAAAAATAGTGCAGAAATGAGCTCCCTATTATTAGGAAAGATTTGTCTCATAGTAGCACCCAATCTGAGCAGCCACTGTTCTGATCTAAATTGGGAGGCTGTATGACATCATTTCAGAATTATGTCCTGTGACAGAAGTACGCACATTTTACTGGTTGATGCTAATGGGGGAATGACTAGATTCACATTTGGCACGCAGAAGGGAGACTACTTTCCCAGTACAATAGCCACTGTATTCATACATAAAAACAGACCCTATCCCAAAGGGCTTACACTCTAGCTATCACCTTGCCTCTGGCTACCTCTTCCATAACCCTTCTTCATATGTGCCTTCTGTGTCCACTTCCCTACCAAAGCATCCTCTTTGTGACCTTCTTTGGATTCAGAAACTGCAACTTGATCATCACTTAAGCTAGACTCTGGACCAAAAATCTGCTCACATTGTTAACTTTGCAGATCTAAACAGGCTGAAATGATTTGAATTATTTCCCAACATTTTTTTTAATCTCCTAGAGAAACAGATGTAAAACAGCAGCAGCATCTAACACTGCATTTCCCTTAAGCCTGCTGGCAGATATGTTTTGGCATTCCTGTTCCATGCTGTTTGCTGCAAAAAGTGGCCTCTCTTTCAAATGGTGTGAAGGCAGTCCCTCATAAATCACTCAACTCCACCTTTTTGACTACATCTGGAGGCAACAGGTCCTAATGGTTTAAGGTTTTTCTTTAGCACCCTAAGCTTCACTTTGAGGAGAAGGCCCCATTCTTGTCAGGGTGCAGAGAGCAAAGTAGCTACTTGCCATGCAACAATGGTGGGGTCATAAATCCACTCCTCTGTAATTGCCGTTATCTTTGACACTATCTCATTTCTTTGTTTGCTTCTTTCAGGTTGTATTGGTGTAACGGTACATATCCAGACAGGGTAATTTCAGACAGGTCAGCTGAAATCCATACCAAATGCTCAAAAAATAATACACATAATTCCTCCATAATGACAAAAGGCAACAGGGAAAGAACAAAATTAAAACAAAGAAATAAACAAAGCAAAAAAAAATGGCAAATGCCACAACACACCAGGTGCATAACCACATACAACCGTATTGCAGGTATGGTGGCATCCCCACTAAGACTGTAAAGGCAGATCAGAGAGCTTCTCCTACATTTAATTACTTAGCACGGACAGAAAGCATAAAAATATTTAATAGAAAATGTTACTAACAGGCCATAAGGACACAAGTAGTTGGCTGATGACTTTACAAGAGATGTTTCAGAACATTTTTGAAACAACGTCAATACTTAGTATTCCTTATAGTCTATCAACTGACCTCAAAAGCAAACTTTAAAATGAAAAGAGCACAGAGGCAATATTGTTTCCTTGGGTGAGCTGTTGACAGAAAAGCTTGCTTGAGTACTTCTGCTCAGTGATAAGTGCTCAAATTAAATCTAGAACTAAAATTGGGTTCTGACCAATAATAAGGAAAAATAATAGCAAACAAAGTTGAAACGAGGAGCCAAAAAATTGGAATTTTCAGCAGCATTTTATGTTGAAAGGTATTATGTTATGAAGAAGTATGACTTCCTTTTCATAAATCCATGATGCCTACTCCCAATCACCTTCTTGTCCTTCATATGTTTAGAAATGATTTCCAGGATTTTTTACTTCACCACCTTCCCATGGAATTCCCAAGGCAGGGCTGATTCTCTGAATCTTCCTTTTTGCCCTTCTTGAAGGTAGGAGTATCAATAGATTTCTTTCAGTCCTCAGGAACCTCCCCCAATTTCCAAGACTTTTCAAAGATTATCAACAGTGGCCCTGCAATCACATCAGCCAGCTCCCTCAGCACTCCTGAATGCATCCCATCAGGTCCCATGGACTTGTGTATGTCCAGTTTATTTAAATGTTCCCTAACTTCATCCACCTCTACCGAGGGCAAATTTTCCTTGCTCCAGACTTTCCACTTGTTTCAAGGATCGGGGATTCCTGAAGGCCAGTCTTGTAAGTAAAGACCATGGCAAAGATGATGCTGAGTGCCTTAGCCTTTTCCATGTCCTTTTTCACCAAGTCCCCTGTCTTTATGTACTATTTTAATGCACGTAGTGTTTCAATGATGAAAATTAGAGTTTCCCAAATACTCAGGGAAACACACACTGCAGATGCAAATCTATAATGGAAATGGAGCATATCCAAAAGACAACCAAATGGCCCTTTACAACTCCAGAAACATCAAAACTTGGTTGG